TCTCCGGGGCCCTAGCTGGCGCGCTGGGTGGCTGACCTGGGAGTGCTCCTGCTGCCTCCGATCTCTGCCTCTCCTGCTGCTGCTCCGGAAGCTCCACCGCTGCCTCCAACCTCTGTCTCTCTTGCCATATCTCGTCTATCCTCCTGGTTCTTCTCGCCCCTTTTTCCTCTGCTGTCTCTCCAGTTGGTGCCCTTTCCCTCGTGTGGAGGTCAACCCTCTTTGGGATCTCTGCCTCCATCTCCTTCTTGGGCTGGCACGACTCCTGGCGTGGCTCTGCAGGTGCTGGCTCCTCCAGGTCTGGGTGCTCTAGGGCATGAGCTGCTAGGTGCCTATCAATCAGAGTCAAGGCCTCTCTCCTTACAGCTGCCCTCTCTCTTCTCCTTTCTGCCCTGCTCTCTGGTGAAGAAGCCTTTCTCGACGAAGGCAATGGGGCCTCTTCTCTCTGCAACTCCTCTCCTGTCTGGCGCGTGCCCCCAGGTGCATCTCCAAGCCTCAAGCCTACTGCTGGCGACTGAGGGGGCGTGTCCTCTTCAACCTCTATCACTTCCTTCCCTGCACGTCTCCCCTCATCACCCGGCCCTCTCTCTTGCTGAGTATCCTGGACCTCCTCTCGTGGCACCTCCTCTCGTGGCACCTCCTCCCGTGGCACCTCCTCTCGTGGCACCTCCTCCCGTGGCACCTCCTCTCGTGGCACCTCCTCTTGTGGCGCCTCCTCTGCCTGCTCTCCAGACTCCTCACCCCGAGGCGACGCCCTCCACTGAAAGATATCCAAATGCGTCTCTAACTCCCTCAAGGGCCCCTCAGATGTTGATGGCTCCTCCTGTGCACACGTTGGCGACCTCCTCCTCAATCCTCCCGCGGTAAACCGGTGGAACTCCACTGGTCCCAACCCACACTCAGGGTACGCCCCTCGCTCCTCAACCTCTGGCTCCGGCTCCGGTTCTCTCCTAGCTAGGGCATTCCGTCCTCCTCGAGATGGTCGCGCCTCCCTAGGCTCAGGGTCCCTCTGCCTCTGACTCCTCTGACGCCTCTCAACTCTGGGCTGAGGGGGCTCCGGCCGTCGAAAGGCCTCTCTCAGATGCGCCCTGCAACTCTCCTAGTCCCGGGCCATGTCTCTGACCTGGCTAGCCAGTGGCCTTTCCGCCTTCCTGGTCCACAGTGGTAGCGTCTGCATCCAATCATCTCTCGGTATACCCTGCCCCTGCATGAACCACTCAAACGCGGGGATGAAGTCCGACGCATTTCCAATCTCCA